CGGCCACTATTTATAATGGTTTGCTGAAGCCATGGTGGGGCGAAACAAGGTAATTATGAAGGCCATTTCCCTCCATTGTGGTATTTTAAGGGGCTTAATCTTTCATTAAATTTTAGATTCTGCTTTATATTTATCATTAGTTAAGTTGGGAATGATGTTAACATTTATTGAATACAAAAAATTAATTACATGACATTTTCTGAAATACATTAATTGGCGATGACATGCTGAGCATACTCCTGATTACTGCTGGTAAAAAGTTACTATGAATCTTTATTTTTGACCTGTAATAGGTACCTTATCACTAAAATTACTGGAATGTTGGAAATGTGTAAGAGAGGTGCATGTTTTTGAGTTTTTTCTTTTAAAATCTAGTAGCATGGCAGAGAAAACAATAGGATAAACTAATGAAAGAACAAATAAAGAAACAACTTGAACGATGCAATGGGGACATCTGTTTAAGAAACAGTGCAAAAGATATTGCTAATATGTATGTAAATTAAACATGAATGAATGCATCCAAAAATAAAGCAACTTCATAAAAAGTCAGTGTCTGACTTTTGTCTCCATAAAGCAACAAAAAAAGTTTTTCTCACCGGTAGTTTTGACTAAAGAACAAGTGACATTTTGCAGCTCTGTGAGAGCATTTAACACATTCTGTCTCTGTCCTCATCCAAAGTTTAAAAATGTGAAAAAGTAAATATCAAACTTAACCTGAACCTGAAGTTATTATGAATTATAATTATAAATATAACATGGTATCTATCAAGATCTTACAGAACATTAAACATTTGTTGTGGTGTGTTCTCTATGTTCTGGATTTTAGGTGAGGCTTAGCAGGCATCCATCCAGGAACTCAAGGGTGGGGTCTGGCCTCCTCCTGCCAGCACAAACCTTTCGGCTTCTGCTTTAAGTTCTTGCCGACTTTTTAAGGATCGGCCAGAACTCCAGTCTCTGCCAGATTGTCTCACATTTGTTTGTGGTAATCCAGACCATCCTGAGCTCATTTACCTTTGGAAACAAGTCAAGCATAGACATAGACATAGACATAGACATAGACAACTTTACTGTCATTTTGTGTGTACGGAGTGCACACAAAACGAAATTTCATTGCATACAGCTTAAGACAAGAACAGCTTACTGTGTTATCTCTGTTTCTTGTCTCTCTCTTTTTGATATGCTCCTCATTGTTGGATTCCCAGTTTACTCGGTAACCCCGAGTGGAGATTTCTGGCACTGAGTTCATCATCTGCTGCAACATGCCTACTCGCCCACCACCATTCCACACCAACCACACAACAGCCAAGGCTTCACCTCCACCATTTATCGCTTCTGTAACACAATGAGCCACCATCTGCAAAGTCCTGTTTTCACAACTCTCAGAGAACCTGGACATTTATTTCAGCCACAAATATTAATAATTTGATTTTTGATCGTCCCAGTAGTCAATTGGCAAGAGGCAGGCGACACCCTGGACAGTCCAGCAGTCCATCTCAGGGCCACACAGAGACACACAAAGACGAACAACCACGCACACTCACATTAACTCCTAAGGGCAATTTTGAATGTCCAATCAACCTAACATGCAGGTTTTTGGATTGGCTCCAGTCCCGCCGTGACCCCATTTCAGAATAAGCGTGTCAGATCGGGCTCAAGGCAGGATTCAGATGCAGAGTTTGGGAAAAAACAAGGTCTTTATTAACAAAAATTACACTCTCTCTGAGTGGAAAAAAAGGCTATAAAAAAGTACAAAATGATAATCTCTCATACGAGAAGAACACAACTAAGGACAAAGTACCAAATAATAATCACTCTTACGTGGCTGAACAAAACTATGGACAAAGTGCCAAATAATATTCACTCAAAAACGAGGATGGAAAACCATGAAATGCAAAATAACAAGCACTCTTACGAGGAAAAACGTGGAGACTCAAGACAAGGAATTCTATGGAAAGGTTTAAGCATAGTGAAAAGGTTGATAGGATGAAACACACCGGCACAAGACAAGGGCAACGCAGACTATTTAAACACATGATGGGAAGGGAACTCCAGGTGAACAATCTGTGATTAGGGAACACAATCATACAGGTGACACACAGGGAAGCGCAAGTAACCTGAAACAAGGATGTACTTTTCAAAATAACACAAAATAACACAGGAAACGACAAAACCAAGACATGACAAAACACCCCCCCAAAAACAACAACAGACAAAGGATGGGTGGATGGTTTTTGATCCTTCAACTTCGTAAAGTAATTTGCGTTTGGGTTCTCTTTGGATGTTACGGTCATTTACAGACATGGCCCTCAACCAGGACTTGAACCAGGAACCCTCTTTGCTTTTAGGTGACATTGTGACTACACCGCTATGCAACCTCTTTAATTCTCTTATCCTATCTATTCAGTTATGACAAGAAATACTTTGTGCCAAGAAAGCCCTTCAGTCCATCCAGTCTAACAAAACCTTGCAGAAGAATGCAGACAAATGCCTAAAACAAATAAAAGGGGCAATATCATAAGTAATCCAGTTATAGAGCATCAGTAGACTCTCCACTGAAAGCAGAAAGAAATTAAAGTAGAGGCATTGTTTTTTTCCCACAGGCATATATGCCATTTATGTGTGTTACATTGTTATGGGTTAGTTCCATTAGCCCTCATTTTACCATGCCATATCAAAGCATATTTGTTCATATAGATTATTTTTAATCATGTTTTATTTATTTTACTTTTTTTAGTATCAAACTGAACAATTTGATCCAACATTGTAAGGTCACTCCTATCAGATCTTTGAGTATCCATGAGTACAGCCTATGTGTATTTATAGGTATGCATGTGTTATGTGTGTGCATAAGACTAAACAGTTTAATAGGTGCAAGAGGATTTCATAATAAAAAAGAAAGTTAGTGGTATACAAAATAAAGTTGTTGTGAGGTAGATTAATGAGGTTAGGTTGCAGCAAAATAAATAGCAAATGATGTACATAAAGGATCAATCCATTTGATGTCATACTAAATGGCTTCTGTGGCCCAAGTATAATATGATATGGAGGTGTAAGTGGAATGCAATCACGCTGTTTCCCTGGTTATCACCTCTTGAAACATTATGTTTGAGTAGTTTTACTTAAATCAAATGCAGCACTTAAGCTGAATAAGGATGATGGTTTGAAATATTCTTTGCAGCCATTTAGGTATTAATGCTGGCCAAATTTTCATGTTTATATAGCTCTTTCCTCTAAATTCCTGTTTAAAGTGGTTTGTAGAAGCTTGTGCCAAAGCTCCATTTGAATGTTACATGAAAAAGTGGACTTATCTCTGCCTACAGTTTTGTTTTTTTCTTCAATGTGCAAATGGACATTGCTTTTGCGCAGAGAGATTCAGCTATAGGAGTAATATTTAAATACTCCACATACCCAATGTTGGTTAATTTATGTAGTTTTATAAATTACCGTTTTATAAATAATCTCTTTTCAATATTGCCTTTAAATCTTAGAATTGACACGGCGGTAAACTGATGGTTGTAGCTCAGCAACCTATTAGATTTACTTAGGTACAGTATCTTGTTAAAAAGTCTGGTGGTCTTTATTAGATGTGTCTTAGCTCTTTAATATCAGTTAGAGTATGAGAAGTTTGTCATTGAAAAACATTGCATGAAAGAATGGATTCTTGTGTTCAAATTGAACAAGGCAAGCTTATTGTTTATACAAATGAAAAGCAACTACAAATTATCTCATTTTAAGGCTTTAAATCATTACTTGAACATAAAACATCACCTGGTATGTAGCAGATCTTAGAATTAGGTAAATAGATAAAAACTAAATTGGTTTGAATAGATTAGCAAATATGGTCTATTAAGATTATCTATGAAATAGGTTTAATAAATTAGGTGAAATCTTAACATATAGCCATTGCATGGTGTCAACATGGTCAAATGGTGCCAACATGATGTCAAAATACATCTTACTGGACCGCTTGCTGGACCCCTTTTGACAGAAATAACTATTTAATGCCAGAAAATTGCTTCAGTCGAATGATACTTGTGGATATGAGTTTATGCACTAGTTTATCAGTTATTTGATCTAATAGAGGTTTGGAATTTTACTGGACCAATATGATAGCTTAAATAGCATTTGACTTTAGGATATTTTTTTAAAACAGATATATATATTGTTAACTCAATCATGTGTGTGTTATATTTAAAAAGGCTTTCCAACTTCTGGATTTCAATGCATGTGCTGATAAGTCCCACTGACTTTAAATCTTTAAATATGTTTCACCGTTCAAGGGAATTCCTGCTACATGCGGCTAAAGAGCTGAATTTATTTTCCCCAATGGTTGTGGAAAACTTGAGATCCAGCTCAAACTTTACTTTCAAGATTCAAGCTTAAACACGCAAGAACCAGATTATTTGTGTTAAAATTAGAAGACTGTAAAAAGATGTTCTCTGCATGAGATACTCATTCAGATTCCAAGTTGCTGTTTACTCTGTAAGCCAATTTCCTCCACTACTTGAGCCGATTTCTGAATCAAAGCCATACAGCAGCGCTATTGTTTCAGCAGCAGCCGTGGAGGCTACAAACAGCTCAGATAAGTGCACAACCCATTACTGGGTCCCTCCTTCAGACCTATTAAGTCTCGCAAGGACTTCAAATACCAATTTGTTCAGTAAATAGCCCATTCAGTTTGTTACCACCAAAGAGAGACACCTCTCTTCCTCTCTGAGGTAATTGAATCTTCACAGGGACATTTTCTTTTATTTCTGTCAGGTATTGGAGTGATGAATAGCAAATGGTCAGCTGATTAGAAAGAGGGGCTATATGTTAATTAAATACTTGTTGTATGTTGATCATGAGCCTTGATGATTGCAGGGTCCTTAAGAGTAGCACACAAGTTATGTTCTGATATAAGGCTTCTTTCCAGACAAGCGACATCTAATCATAACAGTAAAACTAAACAGCAGTCTTTTTTTCCATAAATAAGAGCGTAACAATAAATTTACGGAGGCTTTTAAATCTTCAATATTTTTATTAATTAAATACACCATACTGGAGCAAATGTCTTGGAAAATATCACAAATAAATTTCTCTTTCAATCAGCATTTCTATGTCGGGAATTATCTCTACATTACTGACTATGAGCAAATTTCTTCAGGCTGGTTTAACGTGGATAAACTGGGTGTGGAGAAGTCCGTTGTACTGTAGCCACGCCTGGACAACGACATTTACATGCATACTGTACATACATGGTAGTTTTACAAATACACAAACAGTGTTCATGATTTGTTTTCCACAAAATGCTACAGATATTTTTAAAACCCCATATTATGCATATATATATGCCTGTATGTGTGTACACACACACACACACACACACTTACATACACATATCGAGGTATACACATTTATATACCACCGAAAAGAGAAAAAAAACATTCCCTATCAAAAAAATCTAAAATATAGAAAGTGGAAACACCATGTTGCTGGGAAATAAGGATAGAAAAAGAGGGAAGTAAAAATAAAAAGTTCCCACTTTCCCCCCAAAATATTTGTTTTGGTAAATGTGCACAGTTCAAAAGTCTGCAACTTTCAACCCTGTTAAGTCTTTTTCTTTGCTTCAGTGTCAGCAGGTTCTCAGTAAGTTCTTTAATTCTCGTTCCCTAAAGAATCCTCTCATAGTCTCCTTCTCTCCTCTTTTATAAAATCCAAATGTGAGTCCCAAACGTCTGAGATACAACAAGTGCAAATATCCACCCAAATCTAGGAAAAAAGCCAGGACCTAAAGGCTGAGAGTTGGGAGTGATTTGCAGAAACAGAAACATGTTCAGGTTACTGGTGCGGACGGTGGAAGATTCCATTGGGGAGAAAGGGCCTGGGAGAACAGCAAAAAATGCTGGGGTGCTGCTGACCCATGCTGTCTCAGGCAACAATGAATAAGGGCTAAAATGAAGGCACACATCCTGCTTCCTGCATGGCTTCAGTTTAACACACCTGAACAGAAAAAAAGACAAGAGGGAATATAAGAAAGCAGAAATGCAGCCATTATTAAAAGTGTCAGTTAACATAGTGTCAGATATTCTACCACCCTAATAAATATATTTTCCACAAGGTTCACTGTCTAATTTATTGATCAGCCAAGCTTTGAAAACCATCTGGTGTCCCATTTACTTTGCATTAACTTAAAAGTGCCTTCATGAGGCAATTCTCTTTGGTATAATTAGAAGCACGCTCCAATATAACTGCAGGAGGTGCTCATGCCTGTGAAACAGAAAAGCAGGGGAGGAAATACAATTATCTGTCTGAGCTCCACCAGCTTTAAACTTTTTCATCTTTCTTGTTTTTTTTTCTGCATGATTCTAAAGGGTGATTTACTTCTCCCTTCATCCCTCAAATCACTAGGAGGGCTTCAGTCTATTAGTAATTGCAAACTCCTACTTGGGGGCTAATTAAAGTGACTGACGCTGGGAGGGTCTTCCTCCCCTGAGTCAAAGCAGCTCTGTATGAGAGAGGCAATTTGTCTCTTCTGAACAAGGAGATTAAGTAGAAGCAGAAGAAAGCTTAATAAATGAACACCAAATGTCCTATGCCATGATTGTGAACAACACCAATTATGTTGCAGCAAAATTGCACATTATCAAAACAACGGCCTGTAGATAACTCTGTGATTGCTTATTTTTTTCCTCTGCTAAACCGGCCTTCGCTTCTACAGTCAGCCTGATGTATTGGAAGTATATTGATCTAAATGGCTGATATCCTCATGGAAGTCTGTGCCGTCCAAATTCTGTTTAAGCAGAGGGAATGTGTGATAATGTGCTATCTCCTCACACGTGGTGATAATGAGAGTATCCAGAAACTGTTCCCACTGAGCAACATGTATGTTTATTTAATAGTTCCCTCTTTGATATAATTAGAGAAGCAGAGACTATATTCACATTGTATTTTAGCATAAATAATTAAGTGGTTTTCACTACAATTGAGGTTAGTGCATAAATAAACTATAAGGTTTTATATTTACTAAACACACATCCTAGCAGAGACAGTCTTTGTACATGTCAGGATTTGAATTGACATTTAAAATTAAGTTAGATAATACAACAAGTTTCAATTTGAAAGTGAGAAGCTCTTCGAGCTTGGGGAGCTGATCTGTAAAACTGACAAGCCCCTTAAAAAAAGCATGTGACGTAGATGAGAGGGAGGGGTGGGCGCTTAATGGAGTTCTACATCCTCTGTACTCACAGAACCACTCAAGGTGAAATGGATGCTCCCAACAATATAATTCCTTTTTCAGTCTGTCTATGACACACTCCCAACACCTACCATATCTCTCAGCATGCTGTGTATGCAGACAAGGTATCAATAAAGTGGGTTGTTGTGAGGCAGAAATTATTAGATCTCTACCAGGCAGAATGAAGCTCTCCTGAAGAATGAAGTTATCCTTTGTATGTAATTATCCCTTTTGTTTTGTTTTCACTGGAGGCATCAAGATCAAATCAAGAAAAGCCATGATGAAAGTTCTCATGATATACTAGCTACTCTGGTGCTTTGTCTGACCCTTGAGGGCTCCCTGGATACCGATTTTTGGCGTTGGAGTAATCATTTATACCACACAATTCCATACTTGTTGATAGAGTAGTCAAATTCCACTTTAAACACACTGTATTGATGGCAACACATGTAGTCTTTTAGCACAAAAGGGAAGTCTGGCGCAAAAGGGCAACATAAATTCACAAGGACTTAAAACAGCATCTGCCTGTGTACAGCAGCGCAGAGAAAGAGAAAAAAAACAACAAAAAACACCACATTATTTTCATATTCGTTATGTTGATGGCTAATACAGATTTTCTGAGTGTCCTCCAATAAGAATGATGGAAAAATCCATTGGCTGTCTCTAAATAAAATGAATCTCTGCTCTGTTACATGCATTGCAGCAAAGCTGAACTGACTACATCAATATAAATCGAGAGAGAAATGTTGCTATGAAAATTACAGATGCTTCTCTTTTCAACATAATATATTCAGCTGACTGATGACAAGTTGTTGCTGACTGTCCTGAATTACATACTGATCATCCATTACTTTTAATACACCAGAAAACATGGAGTACTTGGTGGTCTTTCTTACCTTCTGGTCAGGCAGTAGTGGGTTCGTCTGCAGGGAACTCAAATGGCCATTGATGAGTGCTGTGGGTCTGTCATTTTCACAGAAGAGGCTGCCGTTGATGTAGTGAAACCGATCCCCTGGGACAAGTCTGTTCCGGCAGGTGGAACATGTGAAACACTTCAGAGAGAAAGACAGTGAATTGCAACCTGGCAAATTGGAACAAACAATTTTTGGCGTTGTGGCCAACACTAAAAAAAAATATATACATGATCACATGTTTGGGTACCAAAAAATATTTAGTTTGGTCAGTTAGTCAGTTCAAATTTATAGGAGAAGTTAAATCTGAACAAACTAAGATTAAGCAAATAAATTACTAAGGCCTAGTCTGCTTACATGTAGATAAAGAGCAGACTCTTCTTGAAGAAACTAAAGTTTTTCAGTACTTTCAAAAATACACTGCATATCATCTAAAAGTCTGAGGCAGATCACAATCTGTTTCACATCCATGGAACTGAAACATCGTAAGCAGAGACCAAAAGAACATACAAATATTTTTCAGTCAGACACTTCCGCTATGACAAAGAACATCATGCCTAAAGGAGTTACTCTACCCAATGGATGTTTTAAAAGTCATATCTACTGCTTTTACTCTATAAACTGCAAAAATAATTCCCAATTTTAATAAATAAAAAAGTCAAATTAGACTCCTGTAATACAAGTGTCTTCATACAGTAAGGAGAAAAATCTGACACGTGGAACTTAAAAGACATATTACAGTCTTCCTTTATCAGGATTTAAAGAATTGAGTTTTACCTTCAGATGGTACACATTGCCCTGTGCCCTCATAACCAGTTCACTGGCTGGAATAGACTGACCACAAGCACTGCAAGCTCCGCTGTTTCCAAATAATCTGCAAAGAAGAAGAAGGCTCAGGTACAAGCGATACTATGGACCCATTCATTGTCACTTTTACTGCTCTTCATTTCTAACTGGAAGAGAAAACCAGCAGAGGGAGAAAATGAAAATCATCACAGTATCAACAGGCAAAATTAATCCTTTACTACTCTCCACAAGCATCCCTCACCATGACTGAATATTACTTTTGCTGTACATTTTGCTTATGTTCCAGGTTAATAATAACCTGGAACATAAGCAATCAGGACCTAGGAGGATTTGATTGTACATCCAGGCGGAGACATAGTGCTATTGCCATTAGGACTCCCGTGAATGCTCTGTCAGTGCCGTGTTTCCATTAAAAACCCCGTAGCTACTCCAGTTGATATATAATGTGCATGGGTTAACCTTTTCAATCATGGTGTCAACACTTTAGATTTGCCTCTGCTCATCTCTTCGTCCCTAACCTTCTCCTTCTCTCCCCCCTCTGCCTCTTGATAATGAAATGCTTGCTCCAGCTTCCCTTCTATCTTCCTTCTGAGTCCACAATTTAGATTACTTCATCTCGGTGAGCAGCAAACTGAATGAAATTTCGATTTGAGCAGAAAGTAATTTACTGGGATCTGGAGCCATTTGTCATCATATCTCACTGGGTGTTTGCTCTATCACTGCACTTTTCCTAAGCAATCAAATAAGACCACGGCATCTGACATGTTCCGGAGAGAAAGAGGAAGAGAGAGGGATAGAAAAAGAAAAGGATATGTGGGACTGGTTAACACTGTGTTTATCAGATAAAGTTGTTTGGCTGTAAATAAAAAAATCATTCTTGTTGGTTTGAGGTCAGTTGCAACATTCTCATTGGCATTTTTATGAAGAGTATTTAAATTCACGGTGAGACCGAACTAGAGAAGAAACATTTCATGTCGTACCCCAAGCAGTTGTTAGACATACTGACAAACAAACAAGCATGAGCTCTCAGAAATAGCTTTCAATAACAAGGCCTAGGCTGAAGCAAATTTTGTCTTGGCATCATTTGGAAGGGATCCATCAAAACTCAATTTCAGAAACTAATTAACTGGAGCCTGTCGTTGCGACATTGCCAATTCTTGGCTCTCGCTGGGACAAACATGATATTGGAAATTAACATATATACCTGGCTTGAAGATTCATGTGATGTGCGGAAAAGCAGAGATACGCCTTTCTGCATTAAAAGCCAGCTCATTTGAAAAGTCCAACTTTGCTCAAGCCGAAAACACACTCCTTGTCTTAAATTCATTCCCAAGTGCATTTTCTTTGCACAAGGGCTTTTGAGGGGGGATCGAAACCAATGCTACTAGACTTTTTCACAGCAGAACTTTTACATTGCAGTTCTGTGTGGAGCACGTAGCAGGTTAATTATTTTACCGGGGGATTGCTCTTGATGGTGTTTGATTTAAGGAGCCAAAGCCTTTAGGTGCTCAATTAAGTTGTTGTAAGGGTTTGAACTTGGGGCTCTAATGGCCTCTTTTGCCACTGAACTCCAGAGCAGAGGTGAATTTGACACCCCTGCTCAGTATAATTAATGCCAAGGGAGTCTTTTAATTGCAATGACACATCAGGTTCCTCTTTTTTGCCTCTTAAAAATATAATTTCTGGAGAACGCTTTTATCTTGATTTATCTATTGTCTTCCCCAAGTGGATCTATCTTTTATTAAATTAAACATCAAACAAAAAGAAAAAAAAAAGGAGAAATGTGTACTGTCTATACAGGCAGTGACTATTGGATTTAATTTCAGCACTGACTGTCGGGTGAAATATAGTGTGGCTTGCTGCTGGACTGTCTGGTAAATGTAGACCTCATTCACCCAGACCTTTGAGTAGGATAAAATTACCCCCACAACAATGATTTCTGCAACACAGTCCATTAAAAATGCCTCTCTACATCAGCAGCCAAAGCACCTTAAAAGCACTAGGCTATATTGATACTGAACCAGGGCTTTGCATAATGGCAAGAGCTGCATTAGAGAAAGAGGGTGTGGGGACTGGGGGGCGGGGCAGGAGACTGTGAGGATGAGGGAGGGTTGGTTTGGATCTGCGTTGGGCATGTGCATTTGTTTTTGAAAAGGGGGATGGGGAGGTGTAAGAGTGTATGTATGCCTGGGAGTGGTAGTGCGGGTGTGGGTGGGGGAAAAATGGTGATGGTGGGGGATCAACAAAATTACACTTGGTTAATTCAGAGTAACAGATCTGCCCCCAAGTGAATTGAAGGCCTTGAATTAATTATGTTATGAAAAATCAAGATAAACGTTTAGTCTAAATTGCTTGCAATTTAATTAATTTCAAAGATCCGTTTTTTCCTGGCCTAATAGTTCACATTCTCTTGCGCTGTCATAGTGCTGGAGTGGGCAGACTTCAAAGTGATATTAAATAAGCAACTATTAGATTTACCTCACACATTCTATTGGAAAAGTGCCATTTAATTACCTTGGCTTATTCAATTAAGGGGACAGCATTCTCCCTGAATCCAGCACCCATGAGTAAATTAATTCTCTTGCTTCCAGCAGCTTACAGAAATAATATAACCTCTGTCTTAAAACAACACGAACCCCAGAGCAAACACAACTTCGGCTTGAAGTTAAGGCTGCTGGTGACAGCGCTGCACTTGGAAATGTTGTAGGCCCAGTAGAAGTGAGCTTCTCAACAGGCAGATGAAAACATTTTCATATTAGCTGCAATATATCAAGACTCCTGTTGAAAATGCTCTCATGTTGTTAGGCTTCTTTAATAGTACACGCAAAGCGTGACTCTTTAAGATAAAAGGGAAAAAATAGAAAAGCTGCAAATGGCCTTCACAATAATCCCTCCTCTCTATCCGTCTTTCTCTCATGCTCTCAAAAGCCAATTTGGTTAATTAAATGTTTTGTTTGCAGTGTGGCTCTCATTCATTTCAGACACGTCACTGGTAGCAGATACAAGCCAGGGACCAGATCTCATTAGATAAAACCCATCAGGAGTAAAGGAAATGGAGAGAGACTATAATTAAAGCATTTAATTGTGTGGATTCACTGTCAGAGGTTTTTTTCCTCTCCCCTACTTTTGTCTTTATCTCTACAGAGATCTCATGGTTCCATAATAAAAATTTTAGCTCTTCCACCAAGCATGCTCTCATTACAGGTGGAAAGGTGTACCCACAGCCCTCCATCCATCCAATTTTAATTATTTTATAGTACCATTATGAATGAAGTACCCCATTGACTTCCCTGTGTTTTCTATTAGGTGAGAGGCAGACACATTTTAGATTTGGAAATTGTCTGCGCAGATTTACTTTGACTGCAATTCGGTCCCATCCTTTAATTCACCAGCTTTAGCTTTTGAACGGAGACATTCGAACTGAAATAATTTCTTCTGTTTACAAAAACTCAAATGTTCCAGATGATGATTCAAAATGTTTCATTAATGAACTTTAAATCTATCACATTCTTACACCCCAGGGTGAGTTTCATTACATTATCTCTTGTCTCTTCACATCAGTCTGCACTTTTGCAGAATGAGTGACATAAATCAGCTCAGGTTGGATTTAACCGGGACAGCAATACTTAAAGAACACTTCCTTTGCTAAATAAAACATAATTTTCTTTTTTGAAAAGAAAAAACTACAATAAGATGTAGTTTACTGTCCACAAAACAACGAGAGTATATATGTGTTTAGGAGCACAGAACAATCCTAAAAGACCCGTTTTCCATTCATGTCTTGACTTAGATATGGAGAAACTTTTTCGATATGGTCCTCAATGGTCTCCACTATTTGGAGTCTTCCACAATAAACGTTTCAGTCAGGGCTGATCTAATCAATTCAACATATGAAATAATCATTTCAAAGTTTTCTTCTCACCTAATGTAGTCGTTTCTGCAAAGGATCATGCCACTTTTCGTGTAGCATGATGTGCCTATTTCACCAAGCTGGGCCTGGCAGCAGGAACATTTGAGGCACCGGTTGTGCCAGTAGCTGTCCATGGTGTAAAGAAGGAAACGGTCTGCGATCTTCCCCCCGCAGCCTGCACAACGCTTCCAGGACAGGGATCCTGTGCCCACTGCTGGTGGCTGGCTACTGCCTCCAGGATTCACCATTGTCTCTAAAAGAAAAATATAAACAATTAAAGACATAGAGGAAAACTGTAAGATTTTTTCATCCAGATGGGCAATTTCATAATTTCACCAGCTGAGTATTGTTCAATATATGTAAAAGAAAAAGAGAACTGCGCAAGCTAACACACAAGACTTATACCGCAATGAATACCTAATTTCTCCATCTTGCCACGTAAACCTCTTGTTGAATTCGCAGCTCGAAGTCAGACCAACGTGAACAAGCTGATCCCATAATGAGAGTCTAGTTCTGCTTGAAGTCAGCTACAAGTCATTTAGTGAATTAATCTACCCTTTATCTCTTTCTCATCCCTGTGCTGTTGCTTCATTGGACCTCTCATGATGAACTTCTGTTAACTGAATTCACTGCTGAGTTTTCCTGAGACTTTATCAGAAAATCCTTGGCTAAACCTATCCCTAAGTCAGGAGGTAGTGTTTTACCCTCTAAACACAATGGAATGTGAACAAAAAGTCTGAAACACAACCGGCATCGATCTGACATGTAAGCCAGTTTGGCAAAGTGGTTCAGTGTTTAGCAACACTTCTGACCAGAGCTGTAAATATAATATGTCTAATATCTGACACAGCAAAGCACAGAGAAACCAAACCCGCTAAAATGCTGTTAATCTAATGCACTGAAGCATGTGCTTCAGCCGCAAAATTAATGTGGCCTCTTTTAGAAATAATCCCCACCAATTTGATCAGGCAGTCTTGCTGGGATAAAAAGCAAAATCTTTGTTGAAAGGCAGGTAGACCAATTAGAGCTGGGAAAAGGGAGGGTGTGCTCTGAAAAAAATATTCAGTAAGCCCATTGGCGTTGGTTCTTAGGGACAAACCACAGTGTACTTTAGCGCTGATTAAATCTAAAAGGAGATTAATAAAAAAAAAGACAACATGAAAGTGACTCCCTGACTATACAGGATGGGCTATCGTCAAGTTTCTTTCTTGGGAGGAGAGTTTCGGTTTTATTCGCTGAAGGATGGGAGGGGAAAGAAGCGGAGGAGGTGGGGGGTGGTTTTTAACTCTAATGGGCTAACTCAAGTAATTACATGGCCAGGCAATTTGGGTACAGGGACCTAGCCGTGGCATTACAAGAGAGAGCTTGAGAGGGGAAAAACCTATCAGTTAGACATATGTTAAAAAGTCATTTCCATTGGCGGCTGCTCTTTAATGCATCATTTAGGAGACGTGGCTTCGCATTGGTGTCATTGCAGGGTGAATGCGTAAAATGGGACAAGGAGGAGGAGAATAATATCGGGTATCAAATATCAGCGCTGGCATTTTCAGGAGAAAAACTGAGAAGGAAAAATTTGACTAAAATAGACCGTGTTGCTGGCATAGAGTATAGTTTTGAATGTGTAAAACAATTAAAAACATCCAAATGCATTTTAACATGCGCAACAAATGCACCGTCACCGATAACTCACCTCGTTCGTCGTTTTTAAGTGTGACGACGATGAAGTTGATAGTTCGTATGTAAGAAAAAAACGTTAACAGGTAGCGTACAACATTTCCCCCAAAAAAGTACAGGCAAAAAGCATAACCGCGTGTGGTCGGCCTCCACTCGACAGCGAACCCACAGCACGGACTCTCGACTCTTCACCGGCAACAAACGGACTGTTGAGCAAATGGAGTTATCAGATAGTATTTCCACTGGATGGCTCCCGTTTTACTGATACCGCTTTAGTGTTCTTTTTGTCGCCGAGACGAGAGGAGTCCATTGCAGGACGTTATTACAGGTTTCCGCATGCCGTAATGTCCTTTACGCCGTAAAGTGCGTATTTGAGCAGAAAGATGCCAAACGCAGATAAATAAAGATGCAGGCAGAAATGATATAATTGACTTTCTTCTGACTCGCTTTCTCTGTGGTCTAGTCTCCAAGTCCCGTTAGCAGCTTGTTCTACATGTGTCACTGACAGGAAGAAACCTCCAGTAAAAAGCCTCTTTAGCTCCGTGACGAAGTTGACGCCACAGCCAATCAACTCGTAGACCATTTAGGCGGAAAAACTATTCCAGCCAATCAGCGCCCAGGCGATGGTAACCTCGCCACAGACTCAGGGATGGATTTAGAAGTGAAGTCGAAGTGAGGAATCACAGTGGACTGATCCATAGAAAACACGGACAACACAAAACATAAAACATTTATAAATATAAATGTATAAAAGACCACATGTTATTTTTAAATGAGTAATCAATTATAAAATAGTGAAAGCCGTAATAATTATAACCTTATTACCTCGATCCTACCTTCTGCAATTGGTTGTAATAGATTAATGGTGCATGTGAAACCTGTTGTCTCCAATTTGAATGCTTCCTTTGAAATTAGACTAAATAGTTTTTAAAAAAGACAGACCGCACACAGTATCCTGTGAGCTACAGACACATCACCTCAGATTGTAATTTGTTTACTTAGTTTACAGAAAACGAATCTAACCTAGTTCGTCGTCCAAGCTTTATAGCTGCGTGGTGGCGCCATCGTCTGTAAAAGAAAATAATCGCAGGGAGGCCCACTGTCGTTTACAACCTCATTAAGCCTTAGGTCATTGGTTTCATCACCTATTAAAGCTAATCTGCAAGACCTCGATTTGGCTGAGGTCCTTTAATTTATTCTGTGAGCCGTTTTTCACCATCATATGAGCAATAAATAAGAATTTAGCTTCAAGTCTTTTTCATTGAATATATTTAAACAATAATAATGTAGCACCAACATTTTCCATTGAAAGAGATGACAGCCCTTCCCTTTTATTTGGAGTCAGCTTTTACCAAAAGAAAATAAACAAGATGTCTTCCATTACAGCAAGTTATAATTGCTATTGGAGAAAAGTTGTCTTAAAGAAAAGTTGTTTGAGATTCATCAGGATGAGTGGTTTTACATGACAAAACAGCATTCTTATGAGTTGCCCCTGGCTTCCAATTTATGAATATTATCTTTTTCTCAACTTTAATTGTTTAATTATTCTTGTAGCTCCAAGGAGACTCTGCTGCATCAAGCTGATTTCCCTTTGGCAAACCGTGTTGCTCCACCTTGGTTTGAGCCACATTCTCTTGCTACTCTCATCAAGCCTCTCTTTCAATAGAACAAAAAAAACCCACATAAGAATACAAAGAATATCTTTTCACCAAGGCATGATTAATTGATCGAAATGATTAAAACAGGGGAAAATTATTAAATTAATTTGAAAAGAGGCCTCATAGGAAAGGCTTTGTTTATTGCTGGTCTACTTTAATGAGCTTTTCATAACTGGGCAAGAGAAATTACCGTGTGTGTTCTTTTTGCAAAAATTATTACGTCTAGTTGAAGTGGGGAGGGGAGATGGACGGGGTCAGTGACATGAGGGGATGGGGGTGGAGTGAGTGAGAGTTTCGTTCAGATATTGATAATCTTCTTACTCTGCTGAGATCTCTCAGAACACCCTATGCAGCTCACTGTGAAAAAATGAAAAAAAAGAGTATGGCAGAAAGCTATCCAAATGTTTAAACAGGGACAACAGAGCATCAGATGTAGCTCACAGTGTTGATACTCCCCACAGGGGTGATCTCACCAAGATTAAAGGAATACCACACTGCTTCATGAAGATTTTTGTCTTGTGGAAATAAGTAGGAGAGCCACATTCATCATAGTGGTTTTCAGATTGGGATTCAATCTGTCTTCGACATGTTGATGAGTTGCGGAGAGGCTCATTTCAGCCTGCAAGTTTACACACTGCAGGCCATCTCCTACGTGAACAGCATAAGGGTCATCATAACTATCTCTCACACTCACATTTTGAAATTGAATTGGAATGTTTACCACAGCTATATCAGGCCTGGTTTGTGTTTCTGATATAGCAATAACACATCTTTGCCACAAAACCCAAAATCACATTACAGCAAAAGTTAAATCTGACAATGTTGTTTTCTTGGTTTTGCACGTTGTGCTTATTCTAACAAACATTCAGTCTGATGTCTTATGATATCTTAAATATTCAAGATTTTAGATTCTATTTAAGACTAAAAAGCTATGGAAACCATTTTTAAGAATAGTTGCCTGAGAATAAACTGTCCTTTAAAATAAACATTGCATAAACATTGAAGTAAGTAGAAATTAATACAAATTTTAAAAGAAAGTATATCTTCCAATATGTTTGGTGGCAAGAAAGTTTGTAGAGATTAACCCCAGGAGTGGACAACAAAACAGTTTTGATTAAACCAAAATATTTAAATTTACCCATCTATTTATGCCATCTATTGGCAGTAGAATGTAAATGAAAAGAAAAGTTCAATATTAATGAGGGCCAGAGATGTTCAGTAAGGAAGTAAAATTACTTAAGTACTGTACTTAAATACCAAAATACAGTATCTGTACCTTATTGGAGTGTATATATTTTTCCCTACTTTTACTTTTACACCACTACATATTTTTGATTAATTTAATACTTTTACTCCGATCGATTTTTCATGGGCTGAATCGTTACTCGTTACTAATATATAAACGTAATGATAGATAGCTCTGTCATGGTTTGGGAAGCTGGCTCATCATTGGGCGATTTGAACGATCAAGCATAGCCTATAAAAAAATTCCTCCCGAAAGATTCCCCCATCTAATCTGAAGAAGCATATCAAGGTAAATAAATAAAAAATCAATGATCAGTGGACAAGGGGTTTATATTCTAAGCAGAGAGGATCAAATGTATGATCTGATTTGCCCAGAGGAGGTCTTGCTTTGGAAATAAATGTGTCACGTCTGGTGTCTCGTCTCGTCTTGATTACCTATTGTGTACACCTGGGGTTTCCCTCCCTCATGTGTTTAAATGGTCCTCGTTTCCCCTTGTCTTGGGCGAGTGCGTTCTAGTCCGTCTTGTCCGTCCTGTCCTTCGTCTCCCCCACGCCAGGTTTGTTTTCGTCATAGTTCTGCCACAGTCATAGTCACAGTTTTGCCACAGTTTTGTTAATCGTTATTTTGTTACTTTGCTTCAGTCTTGTTTGCTAATTGCTTTGATACTTTGACCACAGTTTTCCACAGCTTTGATTTGTACTTTGTCTGGACTTTCACCGTTTTGTTGCAATAAATCTTGTCTCCCCTCATCTCCGCACCTGAGTCCTCCCTTCAGAACCCACCTTCCTGACAAAATGAATCCTTGACATTTGTCTAAAACAAATCCAACGTCTTGTTTTCTCTTGTAGAGCAGCTGACAAACTGTTGAAACGCTGGTAGTGTAGCAGAGAGTGAGGCATGATTAAAATCACCAGATATTGATTGCCACAAATGAATTGGGGTGCTGTGTCTGCATCTCAGTAACAATAGAACTGCTGACATCATACACTTTGTCGACAACAGCAGAGGGTGAAATGTAAACAACTACTAACAACACTAAACGGCAAATAACACTGGTGAACTCTCTTGGCAAATAATATAGATGAAAACTTATTGGTGTCCTGGGTGACACCATCTGTTGTTGACAAGCACTGCCAATCCACATCCTGTCCCTTTCCTGCTACTCTTGAAATCTCGGTCTGCTTGTATAGTCAGGAAGTCTGGCATGGAGATGTTTGAGTTGGGGCTATGATGGCTGCAGCCATGTCTCAGTAAAACAAATCTTCTTTGTCCAGCTCTCGTTGAGTGCAGAGGCATTATCTCCTTAGCTCGATCCGTCTCCTCAAAGGAGGGCTGGACATAACCAAGTCCTATAGGCTAGTTACCTCGAGTCATGAACAGGCCAGGTCTTAATTCATGCAGATAACATTGGAATTTGGTAACAAATGGTGTGTGTTTGTGTTGACCTAAAGATGTGGATCTAATGCAACAGAAAAGACAAAGAGAGAAAGGAAAAGAGAGAGGAGAGAGTCTGTGGTCACAGCCAGAGGCTTAAACACAAAAACATAGTTCTATAAGGAATACGACAATCAGTAATTTACATAGATCATTTGATAGCATACAAAACTAAAGTGAGTAATTATGGCCAAATTCTAACACTCGCTTGCTTTTTCCTACTCCGTGTGTCAGATGTTCAGTTACTCCTCAGCCTCCTTTAGCGGTAATGGTATGTGTAAGTGTAGTTTATTTGTAGACATGGAGGCAAGTCTCAGTGATTTAGAAGTCCGGCTCCGCACCTTAGTAGATCAGCCTTTAGCTACTGTAGCTAGGCAGTCCCGGTCCACCGACCTGAGTTAGCCTCTAAGTTAGCCCATGGTAGCCGTGAAACTAGCAAAGCCAGCGACCATTGTTAAGTGCATCCCTGGGACCAAAGCGGGCAATATTGAGTCTTATTTGAAACTGCTGGCTAAGGATAGACGTAGATACAATAAGATTGTTATTCACAGTATTCAAAGTGTTAATGACTCCTGGTTACATCAGTGAGAGGTCAATTCAATTACATTTTCTTTATATAGTGCCAAATCACAACAACAGTTATCTCACAGCGCTTTCCAAAAAGAGCAGGTCAGACCCTACTCTGAAGTTATTTACAGAAGCCCAACAATTCCACTAAGGGCAAGCACTATGCGACACAGGCAAGGAAAAACTTGACTGTGTCGCTAAGATTAATGTTGATTCGGTACCAGCCTTCTTGAGAGGGGTTAGACACTCTTCTAATCTGGAGTTTGTCCCCGGTGAGAGGTGGCGAGCAGGAGTCGGCATACTTGTTGCCCCCCATATTGGTGCCTGTACGTTGGGGTTCACCCCAGTGAACGAGAGGGTAGCCTCCCTTCGCCTTCGGTGGGGGGGATGGGTGCTGACTGTTGTTGGTGCTTATGCGCCTTACAACAGTGCAGAGTACCCACCCTTCTCTGAGTCTTTAGAGGGCGTGCTGGAGGGTGTCCCTTGTTCTACTGGGAGACTGCAATGCTCACATGGGCAGCGGCAGTGAGACCCGGAGGGGTGTGGTTGGGAGGAATGGCCCCCCCAGCTTGAACCCAAGTGGTGTTTTGTTGTTGTTTCTTGTCCCTC